CAGAGCAGTATTTAACTTCAACCATAATAGAAGCTCAAACTAAATGTATACCCAAAATAATAAGAAAAAAAAAAACTTGTACAAGAACCATGGCCAAACAGCAGACTAAAAGTGGTGGCAAAAGGCATCCTTTAAAAATTGGAAGTCAAAGCCTAGGGAAGAAAATAGAAAAGAGCATAAACTCCGTCAAGTCAAATGTAAAAGTACAAGGCGGGCCAAGAAAGAATTTGAAGACCTAACTAAGGCCACAAAAATTACAAGCAAAAAGCTTTTTAAGTCTATCAGAACCAGGAAGCCTGCCGAAAAGTCAGTGGGGCTACTGGATGGTTCTGGTGCTAGGAAAACAAGGCGGTTGTGGTGAAGCTAAATGAATTCTTTGCATCGGTCTTCACTGTAGTGGGTGTGGGGGAGATTCCCTTTGCCCAGTCCATTCATTTTAGGTGACAGCTCTGAGGAACTGTCTCAGCTTGAGGCCTCAATAGAGGAGGTTTTGATAAATTAAACAGTAAGAAAGTTACCGGGGCCCAGCTGGTATTCACCCAAGAGTTCTGAAGGAACTCCAATATGAACTTGCAGCAATACTAACTGCGGCATGTAAGCTATTGAATACATCAGCCTATGTCCAAGATGGCTGGAGGGTAGCTAATGTAACGCTTGCTTTTGAAAAAGGCCTTAACTGGCGATGTTGGCAATTACAGCCAGCTAAATGTGATGCGTTGGGGGACTAGTCCCTTTTGTAGCGGGAAATCATGCCAGCCCACTTTATTAGACTGACACAAAACATGGGCACATGTCAGCAAGCATGTGGACAAGGGGAAGCCAGTCAATATAGTGTACTGTGTATAGTATAGTGAACTTGTAGAAAGCATTTGACAAGGTCCTGCACCAAAGGCTCTTAAGCAAAGTTAGCAGTCATGGATAAGAGGGCAGGTCTGCTCATGGATCAGTAACTGGTTAAAAGACAGGAACCAAAGGGTAGGAATAAATGGTCAGTTTTCACCATGGTGAGCAGTAAATAGGAGGGTCCCCCAAGAAGCTGCACGGGGCCCTGTGCTGTTCAATGTATTCATTAATGAGCTGGAAAAAGGAGAGAACAGTGAAGTGGCAAAATTTGCAGACACTACAAAACGTTAAGGCCAAAGCTGACTGCAAAGTTACAAAGGGACCTCACTAAACTGGGTAACAAAATGGCAGATGAAATTCAATGCTGATAAATGCAAAGTAATACACACTGGAAAACATAATCCCAACCATACATATACAATGATGGGGTCTAAATTAGCTGTTACCACTCAAGAAAGATCTTGGAGTCATTGTGGATTGTTCTCTGAAAACATCCACTCAATGTGCAGCAGCAGTCAGAAAAGGTCACAGAATGTTAGGAGTCATTAGGAAAGGGATAGGGAATAAAACAGAAAAATATCATAATGCCACTATAGAAATCCAGGAGATGCCCAGCCTTTGAATACTGGGTGCAGTTTTGGTCACCCTATCTCAAAAAATGGTATATTAGCATTGGAAAAGCTACAGAGAAGGGCAATGAAAATGATGAGGGGTATGGAACAGCTTCCATACGAGGCGAGAGTAAAAAAGGCTGGGACGTCTCAGCTTAGAAGCACTGACTAAGCGGGGATATAATAGAGGGCTATAAAATCATGAATGGTCTGGTGAAAGTGAATAGGGACGTGTTATTTACCGCCCTAAACATAACATAAGAACCAGGAATCGCCCTATGAAATTAATAGGCAGAAAGTTTAAAACAACCAAAAGGCCACACAACACACAGTCAACCTGTGGAACTCATTGCCACGAGATGTTGTAAAGGTCAGCAGCAGGTTTAAAACAAATACAGGGAAGTTCTTCACGCAGCGCACAGTTAACTTGTGGAACTCCTTACCTGAGGAGGTTGTGAAGGCTGGGACTATAACAGCTTTTAAAAGAGAACCGGATAAATTCATGGTAGTTAAGTCCATTAATGGCTATTAGCCAGGATGGGTAAGGAATGGTGTCCCTAACCTCTGTCTGTCAGAGGGTGGAGATGGATGGCAGGAGAGAGATCACTTGATCATTGCCTGTTAGGTCCACTCCCTCTGGGGCACCTGGCATTGGCCACTGTCGGTAGACCGGATACTGGGCTGGATGGACCTTTGGTCTGACCCGGTACGGCCGTTCTTATGTTCTTATGTCAAAAGTATTGATCAGGTACGTTCTTGGAGCACAGGTCTGACAATGGCAATTCACCAAGATGATCAGGGATGCAACCCCATACTCTGGATGTCCCTGAACAGAAGCTGGGATTGGCTGTCAGGCAGAGGCCATGTGTGTGTGTGTGTGGGGGGGGGGGGGGGGAGTGCGGGGGGCATGTGCCCCCCCCCCAGATTTGCTGCTTGGCTTGTACTGAGCATGCTCAGTAACACTGCTGAAGATAGCTGCCCTCACTGCCCCACCTCCACTATCAGCAGGCACGGGTCAGCTCTGCTCTCAGGGGATGGGTGACTCAATAATCGCCCTGTTCTGTTCATTCCCTCTGAAGCCCCTGGCACTGAGCACGGGCTGACCGAGGACGGCGTTCTTAACTTCATGACAGTGGCCGTGGGCTGAGACACTCAACAGACTAGGTGTTGAGCAGCCTCCACTCCCGTTGACTTCACTGTTGTCCACGGGAAGTGAGAGTTTATGGCACCTCGCAGACCTGGGCCCATGAGGGGGGTTGTGCTTTGTAAGGCAGAGGTACAGGCTTAGTGGCTGTGGGTGGGCTGCAAACAGAGGCTTGCAGAGAGTGGCAAAGCCTGTGGGTGTCCTGCAGGGCTGAAGCCTGATTTATTTACTAAAGGGAAATTTAGCTTCCGCAGCAAATGCTCATTTGTTCTCACTAGCCATTGAAAGGACCAGCGTGAAGACTACACTTTGCAGATCAACTCATCGCTTCTCCCCCTCGCCCCCCATTGCCTGTCTCTGATTTCCTCACTTTTTCAAGTACATTCAAAGCATCTATTCTCTCTGCCGCCGCTCTAGGGTTGCCAGGCATCCGGTTTACGGCCGGAATGCCCGGTCGAAAAGGGACCCTGGCCGCTCCAGTCAGCACCGCTGACTGGGCTGTTAAAAGTCTGGTCGGTGGCGTGGCAGGGCTAAGGCAGGCTCCCTATCTGCCCTGGCTCTGCACGGCTCCCGGAAGTGGCCGTGATGTCCGGTCCCTAAGCACAGGGGTGACCAGGGGGCTCCGTGAGCTGCCCCCGCCCCTAGCGCCGGCTCTGCAGCTCCCATTGGCCAGGAACCGCAGCCAATGGGAGCTGCAGGGGTGGCGCCTGCAGCCAGGGGCAGTGTGCAAAGCTGCCTGGCCGCCCTTCCAGCTATGGGCCACAAGGACATGCCGGCTGCTTCCGGGAGCTGCCTGAGGTAACTCCCCTCCCAGACCCCAACCCCAGCCCGGAGCATCCTCCTGCACCCCAAACCCCTCATCCTCTGGCCTCACCCCAGAGCCCGCACCCCCAGCTGGAGTGCCCACCCCTCCTGCACCACAACCCCCTGCCCCAGCCCGGTGAAAATGAGCAAGGGTGGGGGAGAGTGAGCAAGGGAGGGGGATGGATTGAGCAGGGGTGAGGCATTGGGAAGGGGCGGGGCAAGGGTGTTTGGTTTTCTGCAATCAGAAAGTTGGCAACCCTACCCTCACAGGGTGCTTGAGTTGGTAGGTGTGTGCCACACTGCCCCTTCCAATCTGCTACGCTCAGCTTCCCTTCCAAGGGAAACCTGCCAGGGAGCTGGGGCGGACCGACTGCTCGGGCAATGAGAATCCAGGGGAGACCCAACTCCTAGGGATTGTGTTGGGCCCCCGATTGGTCATGCAGCTCTGTGGAGATGTTCAGGGCCTCGCAGGGGGACCCTCGGCTTGGGACTCGAACATGGACTGAGTGAAAAATATAGGGAGCATAAGAGTGCTCGCTGAGAGGTCAGCTGATTGGTAAGGAAAATGTTCTAGCATCCCCTCTCCCTCTCCCCACTTTCCCCTCTCTCAGCCCCACTCCTCAGACACCTCTTTCTCTCTCCCATGTGCACATACACCCCTCAAATACTGAGCTCTTCCTCCTTTCTACTCAACAGCAGGTATTTCTCTAGCTTTATTTCCTCTCCACCAATTCGATGTTCTAACGTAACCATTTCCCCTGGTGGGACCTGAAAACCTAGTTCTGAAAGTCTTCTGGCACCTACCCTGTTTCCCCGAAAATAAGACATCCCTCGAAAATAAGACCTACTTCCAGTTTTGCCTCTCGCTGTAATATAAGACATCCCCCGAAAATAAGACCTCCTCGATAATAAGGCCACCCCGGAATATAAGGCCCCGAAGCTCCAGGAAAAATAAGTCCTCCCCTGAAAATAAGACCTAGCGCATCTTTGGGAGCAAAAATTAATATAAGACACTGTCTTATTTTCGGGGAAACACGGTACTAACAGTAAAAAATGTTGTGTGGAGGAGGAAGGCATAAAGCTCTCTCTCCATCTTCAAACATGCTCAAATACCGTTAGCAACAACAAATAACGACATGCTGCGCTACCAGGATTGGCAAAGCCAACTGCACAATCGCGAGTTCAGGGCCTGTGACTGTCAGAATCCTAATTCGGATGGGCCATATTTTATTAATATTAGAGGAAACAGAATCATAATCCATCCTTCCCTTTTCTGCCCTGGGGAAACCCAGTCTGTCTGCTTGGGAAAAGGACTGGAATCATGTGGGTTTGTGCGTGAGAGCAAAGAATAACACAAAAGCACAGAGAAGTCAGTTTTTAGAGCCTGGCTTGTTTTCAGCATATCATGTGTTAAGTTCAATTCTCCAAAAGCTTTTTTTATTTTTAAAGGTAACATCTTTATTGTTATTATTATTATGTATTAGTTAATAATTATTTATTATTACTATGCAGAGAAGAGATTTTTCCTTTTGATCAAAGAGCAAACAGTTTGCGTTTAAAATGTTAATGGAGTCCTGATTTAAAACATTTTTTCTTCGTTTTTTTTGAAACGTTGCAACAGGCAAGATTTGGGAGTCGATTTCCTCATCCTACACGAAGAAAGATTTTTGAGTTCAGAATCCTAGCCGCTACCGGGAGGTCCTGCCTTGCTCAGTTTCTTGTCGTCTCGGTGTGGTTTCGCCGGCAGGGTGGGGAGGTGAGTGGGAAGGGAAGAATTGGAAGAGAGGGAGGGGGGTGTTTGTCAGTTATGTCGAGTCCTGGTTAACAACTTTGCCTCCGTTCATGGTTGGTGTCCCTGAACTTTTTCTTGAGCGTCCTTGTTTTTCTCCAATTTCATGCAGCGATGGCTCTCTGTACATGCACACTGCAAACAGAAAGGGCGACAATTAGCTTTCACACTATCCCAGAGACAGAGTTCTTGGACCACAATTAGCATTTCCTTATGTGTGGGGCATTTTTCCCTAAACTAGTCTTCTCCTCCCCTGCCCCCTTTCCCGCCACACACACACAGATAAGCCTGAATATCCCAGTAATATATTCCTTTATTATTCACGGTTCTCTGCCTGTGCTGGCAGTTCAGACCCTTTTAAGTCTACCCCCTCCCAGAGGCACAATTACAAGTGAAGGATTTCTGGTCTCTCACAGATAAGGCTCTCTACTCTCCATGTTTTTTATGACATACAAATATATATACATATAAAATGAACATCTCGATTCACAACATTGCACGTTAGCTCACAATGCCAATATTAGCAGCAGATCAATGAGTTAGCCCCTTTCCCCTGTCCTTAATCTCTGACAAGAAACAATGAGACCCCCAAAACTAACAAGGAATGGTGTCCCTAGCCTCTGTCTGTCAGAGGGTGGAGATGGACGGCAGGAGAGAGATCACTTGATCATTACCTGTTAGGTTCACTCCCTCTGGGGCACCTGGCATTGGCCACTGTCGGCAGACAGGATACTGGGCTAGATGGACCTTTGGTCTGACCCAGTACGGCCATTCTTATGTTCTTAACAAACTTTTGCATCCTGGCCCACCTTGCAGGGAGTTCAAGCTCCAGATTGTGGTTCCAACTGAAACCCACTTTGTCCCCTCCAGCCATAAACAGAGCATTTCAGTCAGTGTCTCTGCTATTTAACTCACTGCAGACCAGAATATGCCATGCTCTTAAGTGGCTGTGCAGCAAAGTAGGAAGGAGAAAGGATCCCCTCCCTTGGGTGGCCATGTAGGAGGTGCGGGCATCGCAGGTCTGGGAGAAACACTTCCCCGCTTCCCCTGGGAGCAATCTGGTGGGGAGTGGACAGAGCCGTGACTCTGTGCCGCCCCTTCCCCCCATGGGGCAGTCAGCAGAGGGGGCTGGCCATGCAGGAAGGGGAGTTTATGGCCTCCTATAAAAAGCTGCCCTATTACTCCTCCCTGCAGTGCAGCTGGAGAGACCAAGGAGAAATTGTCCCTCTCTGAGACCCAGCACCAGCCCACCCCCTGCCTGGGGTGATGCGCCTCCCCGCTGTCTCTTTCTAAGGGCTGCATGTGTATAGCATGATCTAGCCCTGAGAAAGGCAGGAGTACACACAGAGTCAGTGCTGAATAAGGGTCTCAGGAGGTAGCCCCAGGAGGCCAATCTTCAACACGGCATTGCTCTAACAGTCACCAAAATAGCGTTGTTTCAAGGCCCAATATGCTGGGGATGAGAACGAGAGACGGGGTCAGCTTGCGAATCTCCCCCCCCCCGCCCCATTCTGGGGATGTTAGGCCTGATCCTGCCAGCCTTACACCTTTGCCTGTGCAAAGACGGCCTGCAGTCCGTCCGTCCCGAGTTGCGAGAGAATTGTCGTGGAAACGACTGCAGACAGTGTCAAGCAGGGGAGAAGCGAGCCTGCAACGCTTCGGTTCTGGCTCATCGTCAAGAACATAAACACAACATAAAACAAACTAATTCCATTCCAAAATAGCTGAATAAATGAAAACAGTCTTCGTCTACAGAAAGATGAATTGAGTCCTTATGTTTATAGCTTTTCCCTGATTTAGGAACAACTCCTGACACTGAGGGCTAGATTGAAATGGCACTGGTACTTTGCATTTTACTCCCATCTAGATAAACATTTATAGTGATGCAGAACAATACAAGGCAGAGATGAAGTGCAGTCAGGTGTGCACTAATGTAACCGATGTTGCATTGCAAACTTGACCAATGAAAAATACTATTTTGACCATACAACACCTTCCCTCCAAGGCGCTCCAAGCACTTTAAATACACACAATAACTAGGCCTCATAACACCCCTTTGAGGTAGGTAAAATTATCAAGAAAGCCATTTTCAGGTGGAAAAAGAAAAGCAAAGAGAATAAGGAACTTACCCCAGTTTGCACATTGAGTCAGTGCCAGAACTGGGCATAAAATCTAGGAATTCTGCCCTGCCAGCCACTAGACTGACACAAACAGTGCACACATCAATGTCATCACCATTACTGCCAAATAGCCCCTGCCTGTGTTGCTTCGCTTTTGCCTTGCACATAGTATCATCATTTGCCCCTGCTCCAAGTGCTCCCCATGCGCCCCAGTAGCTCTGGACTGCCACTTGGGCTAGGCAGTGAAGAATCAACGTTTGACTTGTGGGCTAGTCCCGCAGCTTTGGCAGTCGCGTGAGTGTGAAATGGCGGAGGGCTGGGTGGCGAAATCAGCCTCTCACACCTCCTGCTGTCCCTCACAATTCCCATCTCCACTAGCTTTGGAGCTGGAATCCCATTCACCCAGGCTGGCTGGGTTAACCCCAGGGACAGGTTGGTTCAATGAGTCACCCAGCTATCAGGCAAAGCAGGCTATCCATAGTGCAAACTGGTTCAGTCTTGTCAATAAGCCACACCTAATGCTCTCTTGTGCACCACATACTCACACGGGAGTTTCCTTCCCTGCCAGGAGCACCTTGTATGTACAAGTGAAGGGCACTGGTTACAGAACAATCCCAGAGCACCCGCACCGCACCGCACCTCGCTTTGCTGGCGTGCTAGTGAGGCATCCAAAGCTGTGGGGAAAACGGCATCTCCGGGGACAGAAGCAAGAACAACAATCCTATGTAAATAGCACGCTCTCGTCATGGGCTAATTAGGCTTCCCAGCACCTCTTGATAAGCAATGAAGCCTGCGCATGGTCCATAGTTCTGATGAGGCACATGACGGAGGTTCCGGGAACCCAGAAGTTTGGTTCACTGGATCTCAGATCAAGGGGGCTAATGCTGGGGGCTTGAGACTCCCCTTTCTCGCTCTGCTGTAAATCAGGTGTCGCTCCACGACAGGAGGTGGAGATCCCAGTGTGCTGGGAGAAAGCTGGTGGTGCTGAGAGCACGGCCCAGGCCTATATGTGTATGTCTGCCTTCCACGGGAGTGCGGTTAGCTGTTTGGAGCCATCCAGCTGACGCACTGTATCGGACGTAGCCAAAGAGGGGGAAGGAATTAATGCTCAAAGAGAGAGAGTGCAAGAATCGATCCCCTTCACAAACAGGGTAACGGTTTATCCCATGGTATTGATCTCGTGCCTGGAAAGTGGATAACGATGCTGAGAGAGAATAATGGCAGAACTAACTTAACTCTATAATAACCGACTGGAGCAAGTCCCCCACCATACACACTTCCCTGTCCCTCCCCGCTTCTGCCATTTCATTGGGCACCATTGGCTGCTGGGCATCCGAGCAGCACACACCACTTGGGAGCTCTCACGCCAATGGGAGCACCGTGTAGAAGCACCAAACTCCACGTCCCTACTCTAGTGGGTGCGGCACAGCTGGGGAGGGAACAGTACATGCCCCTGGCTCTGCCCCAGTCCTGGCTCGCCCCACCCATAACATCATTGGAGGGACGCCACCACTCCACATGCAGAACTTTGCCCGGGGTGTCGCCCCCCCGAGACATGGGAGGAGGGTCACTTGTGTTAGTCAATGCTCCACTGAAGAGATTTAATTGACTTAACACCAGATGTGGGAAGGGAGTCGGGTCATTATGCACCTTGGTTTTCTGCCTTAATGAACGCAATGAAGGCTGGAAGGAAATTCCAGCTGATGTGAGTTGCAGACGGTTGAGCTAGTCTCTACCTGGCAGCTAAACACGCAGGACGCCGCCAAATGGAACCACAGCACGTCCATGGGTGACAGCACTTTTATTACCAAACGCCAAGGAAACGCCTGCTGAAAGTGATCCCTCTTCTTCCTTCAGGATCTAGCTTGAGGGTTTCAGTGAGGGCCCAGTGAAGCAAGCGTGGGAGAGACTCTGTGCGAAATGCTGCATTTCTAGGGCCCCGACGACACAAGAAAACGAGCTGTGTTTAGCAAAGGCTAATGAACAGGTTTTTAAATGCTGCTTCTTCTTAGCATATGCACAACATGCCTCAGGTGGCACGTGACCAGGATTCATCCCAAATTTGGTCCGCTGGTTGGATCATTAGCTGCCCCGGCCTGGGCCACATACTGATGGGCAGTGTGACATGAACACTGATCCATGCCCCCCTAAATGCTGTTCAGCGCCTACTAGAAGCAAAGACAATGATCTGTGTTTACTGGGGCTGAACTCGCTACATCTTCCTAATGCGGACAGCGCCTGGGAGAGAAATTCCCCCTTGCCACTTCACCGTGGCGACAGAGGGCTCTGATTTAGCAGAACTGGAGTAGTTCCACTATGGGAAAAGAGTTGGGGAAGAGTCGGGGGCCTCTGTATGATGCCCCTTGCACCCCAGCCTGCCAGGCCATTCACCACCGCAGAGGAGGTCTGCTCAAGCCAAGCTGCAGTAGCAGGCCTGGGGCCTCTCTGCTGAGAGAAGGAAGAGATGCACTCTGGTTCCAGGGTCTAGTGCTAGGAAAGGGGAAATGCGGGAACTTTAGAGCGTGAAGCAGGAGATACCCCCACCAAGGGGCAGAGTGAATATAAGCAGCCAAGTATTCCCACTGTAAGGGCCTGATCCAAAGCCAACGGCAGTGAATGGAAAGACTCCCATTGGCTGGGGGGGGGGGCAAAGGATCGGTTCCGTCCCTGAGGCTATAGACACTCCGGGAGATTGAAATGGCTTTAAAAGGTTGTACCGGGCCCAAGCGGTGATTCCACGCATGCCAATTGGCCTGGCTCAGGCCGCAAGCTCACAGCTTCATGGCTCCTTGAGTTCAGGCCACAGCAACCAAACATTACAATATCAAAAGAAGTGTGCAGTGGGTGTGTTTGTATCCCAAACTGGCACCTTGCCATACATTAACTAAGGATCCCCAAATACCCTTCAGGCTGTAGGACTTGAAAGCATTTTTGTAGCGTCACCGGGCCTTAAAACTTGCCTCTTCTGTATAGAAAAGCCATTTTAAGGCATTTTTGGAGGTGTTTTGCGTTTATTAGTTTTCTGCCTGTTAGCACTTGTACTGGAGAACTTCTGAATCCAGAAGCAACCGTTTTACCAGTTGAAGTAAAAGAACACATTTCCCTTAGCTGTTAGCTATTGGAGCACGGAGCTTTTGGTGTTTTTGCAGTTCTTGTTTAAACTAAGCTGCCATGTAGTTTTGTGCACACTGGTAAACTGCTGCCAAGTTTCACCCCAGAGGTGGCTGCCATTCAGTGGTGGGTGACGTGATTTCTGTATATGTAGTTTGTGATGCCTCTCTTCTCCAGCAGGCAAAAATCCTCCTCAACAGACACACCGCCCAGCACTAACTCTCATGGCCTTCATGGGGGTCACATTCCCAAATGAAGAGGAAGGCTGGTTCAATGGTTAAGGCACTAGCCTTGGTCTTGGAAGACCTGGCTTCCATTCCCAGTTCTCCCACAGACTTCCTGTGTGACCTTGGGTGTGTCTCTTAATCACTCTGTGCCTCAGTTCCCCCTCTTCAGAATAGGGATAATAGCCTTGCCCTGCTGTAGGGGCATTTTAAGGGTCAGAGGGAGGTCAGACCAAAGAGGCAGAGGTAGAAAGGGAACTGCAGAAGAGAAGCGGCTGGGAGGGAGGGTCTCCTGCAGTGGTCCCTGGAGAAGAGAGCTGGGGCTTTGGGAGAAGGCAAGGAGTGCAGCCTTGCCCTTGCATTTCCTCCTGCTGCCCCGACAACAGAAAGGGACAGTACCTCCGGGGGGAGGGGCTGTGCCCACTATCAGGCAGGGGGTAAGATTTGTTTTTGTGTTAGGGTTTTTGTAACTTTGTGTTAATAAAGAAACTAGACCCCAAGTAGGGCTTCAATTGGATGAGCAAGACTGGGTGGAGTTTTGAAGAAGGAAAAGTGAGGCAGTGCCCTGTGGAGGTCCCCCTGGCCACGAGGGCTGCTCAGACAGGAGCCACCCTACTACGGTCGCACACAAAGGATCGGGGTGCTCTAGGGCTGGTTATGCTACAAAACCAGGACGAGAGGTAAACAGTCCCACACGCAGCCTTGGGGGAGAACGGTGCTATACAGGTCACCTCCTTCCGTCCCCCAGCCCCTAGAGGGCCATCCGGGGTCTTCACCCTGGCCGAGAAGTTCCCGTAAAATATTCTGTGCCTGTCTCAGATTCATGGGTGGGGGTGGAACGGAGCCAACTTCACTCCAACCCCTCTGCTGCCGACCACTCATCTTCGGCTTGGGAACAGAGCCCTCCGCGCGCCGCGGCCCCAGACAGCGGAAGGCTTTGGCAGGCTGACACGTGCCTTTGCTGGGGGGGCAGCCAGCTCTTGGATGCAGCAGCGGGCGGCAAAGCAGCCCGGGGGAGGACTCCTTAATGCGGCTGCCGGGCTCTAAAGTGCTCGCCTGCTCGCTCTGGAGGACAGCGACGACAGACGCTCGCGCGGGCGGAGGCATGCAGGCGAGGGAAAGGAACGCCAGGGCCGCGCTGGGCTTTCGGAAACCGAAGCAGCAGCAGCATCTACTGTAATGAGAATGCGGCCCTGAGTCAGGCCTCTGTGCCTCCCAGCTGTGTGGCATCCATCTACCAGTGACATCCGCCCACCGTGCACCGACTGGGCCCCGCGCGAAAACCCAAATACTTAGCAGCAAACGGAATCCCTCGCTTTAAGGGACCCCCCACCGCACACAGCCAGGCAGCACCGAAATATCTGCCACAAGGGCAAACCCAGCTGCTGTTGGGGAAACCACTCCAGTCCCAAACGGACTGGGGACGGGGGGTGAGGAGGAGACAGACAAGAAAGCGGTGGGGGAGGCCAGGTGAGATAAACAGGCCGGCTGCAAACTCCAGTGGCGGCCACTGTGGGCTCCAGGGAGGGAGTCCCACAAATGACCATCCTCGACTCAGAGCCAGTGCCTGGCAGGCGCAGAGGCTCAGGCCTAGGTTCTGCATCGTTTTCTGCTACTCATGACCTTGCCGATATAGCTGGGGGGGAAGGGTTTGCAGGGGAGTTCCCATGTGGTCTGGAATTCATCTGTCTCAGCCACTGGCCTGAAGGGGTTTCCTGACATTCATCTCCACTCTTCAGAGAGCCCAACCTCCTCCTCCTCCGAGCAAAGGACAACGCATTCTGGGAGCAGCACCGAAAAGCCATTTCAGCCCTTGCTCTGAGCCCCTGACAGCTCCAGAGTCAGAGCCCGGGCTCTGTTCTGCTATTTTTGTTAGCAAGAGAGAAAACGCTTCCTAATTAAAACCATCCATCCGAGGCAAACCCCACCGCAGTGCCTCGGGCTGCCTGCACGCCGGCTGCACTGGGGTTAGATTGGGGCAGTGGTGTGTGCAGGCTCCTAGAAGGGGAAAGCTGGTTCTGGCAGTTCAGCTTGTGCAGTAAATTTACCCACACAAGCTAAATTGCTGTAAGCCGGGTTTAAGCCGACATACGTGTCCACACACTCAGTGCCACTGGCCTAACTACATCAGGGTAAAAACTGCACCTTTAGTTACACTGGCGGAATTGTGTGTGTTGACCAGCCCTCAGCATCTCTCTCTCTCTCTCGCTCGCTCTTATTTTCTTTTCTCCCTTTCCTTCCTCCTTTCCTTTTGCCCTGATACGAAGTTTGGTTCTGGATTTCAGCCACTCATGCTAGGCAGAGTATCAGCGTCTGTCAGGGGTTTGTCTGCACGCACGTTTGCATCGGCTATCAGTGCAAAGCCCGTGTGGACACTCTTATGTCAGCTTTTTGCGGTTTAACTGTAACCCATTGCTAACAGAGTTCAGCTAAATTGAAATAAGTGTGCTTTGAACCAAACTAAGAGCATCCAAACGGCCTCGTGCCCTGGCTGAATGAAACCAGTTTAAAACCCCCACTTTTAGGGAGCAGGTGTAACTCTGGGTGAGTAGACAAGCCCTGGCAGGTGCGGAAGACATGGAGAAGCTGGAGAGAGCAATGCTAACCCATTGAAATGTTCTTGTCTTAGGTAAATATTTCTGACACTGACAATACAGATCTAGGCCCCTCCCTCCTCCTTGAGGAATCTCTGTTGGGAACAAGACCATTCACTTTTCGTCACCCAGCAGGAGGAAAGCTCTGGGTTTGTTTCCAATGGAAAGTTAGTGCCTGTGAAGGGCACTAGGGTGAATAACCCTGGGGACCACAGGATGGGTGCATCAAGGAGAGCTGCCCCTGGGGTGTCAGGACAGGCTGGATAGTTCATTGTCTATGTCCCGGCTTTCTCACCGGAGACACATTCTGCAAGGTGGATACCCGGGTGACTCGGAATTGGACTGAGATTTCCCCAGACTCTTGACAAGGGCTTCCAAGGAGCTATCAGAGACGGCAACACATTGTGGCCACTTCAGACAAAGGTTGTATTTGAACTTATGACCTAGGTACGAGGTTCGACCATCCCTGTACTATGCTCTTTACTCAGCCCGTGCCCCCCGTTTGGTTGGGGTTTACAGCTCGTTCTCTAGTAACCCAACCTGCCGGCTCATGTTTTGGGACGCACTGCAGGGCTCACAGCAAAGGCCGACAGGCTCCAGTATTGATGTTGCAGCGTGTTTCAACTCGGAAGCTCTTACACCACTGTCCCTGCTGTAGGGTACAGTGCCCGCTCCACTCTGCTGAACCACAGTACAGTCCGCCTCCCCTCTACCCCTTCCCCCCCCCCCCCCCCCCGGGGCTCACATCTGCCCCATGGGACAGAGCGTGGGAACTTTCCATACCTTCAATGGGTTTGGGTACAAAATGGGACGAGGCTTTGGTTTTTTTCACCCGGTTCCCCTTCATAATTTGACCTTCTTTATTGAGCCCCAGGAACCACGCTCGTCCAGACTCCTGCTGCCGATACAGTGTGGAAGAATAAATAACGTAGTAGTTTTCAAAGACCGATTCCTTAAATTTGCACTCTGGTGTGAAAATCTCCTGCAGGGAGAGAGAGAACACAAAGCAATGGAAGGAATTAATCACTAATCACTTAAACCAGGCATCACTGGGAGATAATCAATGTTCTCTGTTGTTACAGCCAGTTTAATGAGAGAGAGAGAGAGAGAGAGAGCACAGTAATATAGGGAGAGCAAGAATATGTAGATCTAGAAACTATCTCCTAAAATGGAAGGCTCTAGGGTTGATTGCGAACCATACCCCTATGCTGTTAAGAGAGCTTGCAGTGGATGCGCTTTAAAAGTGCTTGCACACCCAGCTTGCACAGATATGGGCCATTGCACATCCAAGCCTGGATCAGCGGGTGCAAGGAGCCATGGAGAGTTTTGGAAGCCCTGTGGCTGGGTGTTTCTGTAGGAGCAATCTAGAGTGTGTTTGATAATTGCTGTGTAAAAGGGAGGCCGCAGCATCACGGCTCTGTCACTCCCTGCCTGGCCTCTCCAACAAGGTCTGCAAGCGTGTGGCTGCCAGCATCAGAAACGGCGATCTCACTAAACAAATGCAGAATCCACCTTCTGGCAAAAGGCCGCTGTGAAGGGAGGGGGTGCAAGGGATGATAAGAGATGGGGGTTTAAGCCACAAATTGCATTTTATTTATTAAAAAGTGGGGCACCGAGGAGATGAGGGAACAAAGCCTGGAAATGTTTGAATACGAAAAAAAATCAGAGAAATGAAAATTGGTTTTAAAATGTAACCTCCATTTCCCCAGTCCCAACAGCGCTGGGCTCAGTCCTGACCAAGAAGCGAAAATGACTAGAAAGAGACAGCATTCGATCCCTGCTCCTGCGACAGCCCCTACAGCCCCTTCAGTGAGGCTGCCAACATGTTCTCTACACACCACAATTAAACGGGAGCCTTTGGAGCTTTCAGTATCACTCCGGGTTATGATACCTATCCCCAAGTGTTTTGGGGGGGAGGATTATATAAACTATTGCTGGTATGGCAATAAATCTGATATGCAGCAGACCTGCATGGGCAGTCGGCCTTGAAGCCAGAGAAGATAAAGTGCAGCAGAAAATGTCCAGTTCCTGGCTGCATGTTGTGAAGTCGACACCAATCATTAGCACCGCACACATTGAAAATGAAAAAAAACAACCCAAATCAATGGATTGTTTGGCCGTGTGTGATGCAAGCTCTCTGGTTTCCTTAAAAATCAGTATTTCCGAGGGTGAGAGGAGGGGATGCAATGGGACCAGAATAGCCTTCCCCAGTCCTTTAGAAAGGTATATAAGGCAGTTTTCCAGTTATCAGTGTTTCAGGCGATCTCCCGATATTGGTTCTCTATAGTCACTGCCGTGACGGGCAGTCACAAAACACCCAGCCGTTGCCCCGACTTGGAGTACACAGCTTATGTGGGGTGGAGACACCGGCCTCTTATATTGGTGTTTCCCCCTCAACTCTGCAGTGACCGATTCTGTGCTCTAAGATCCATGAGAGTTGAGTGTTGGGCCACACACACTAACAAAGAAGAGAGACATTATATTTCCCCAGTGCTCACCCCTCTAAGATCTCAAAGTACCTTACCAAGGCGGGGAAGCATTATTATCCCCTGAAACTCCTATCATGGTCCGCCTCAATCTTCGTGGTCTCACAGTTAGACTGGGAGTGAGGGTACCAGGGGTTTAGTCCAGATTTCACCTTGGGGAAATCATTTGCTATGTGACATTTGGCAAGTCATTTCCCCTCTGCGTGCCTCAGTTTCACCATCTAAAAATTGAGATATAGTGCTCCTCTCCCTTTATAGGCTTATGCCTTGGTTTGTAGTCAGTAATAGCATGTCCTGTCGGGGACAGACAGACAGATAATTAGTTTCTTCTGCTTGGTGGTGGTGGTAAATGTCACGCCCTTGAGTGTTGGCATAATGTTTCTGGTGGGGCCATTCGCTGATGTCGTTGAGGATGCTGATAAGAGGTGATTGAAGCTGTCCACCCTGCTTGTTCAATAGATGTCCTAACAAACTTGACACAGGCGGGTTATTTCATCTCAACTCTGGGAATAGTCTATGATGTGTATTACTTTTAGCTGCTAATTTTACTAAGACTCTTGAGTGCTACAAAGCAGGGGAAGGCTATTAAGATAATACCAGCAGATCCTCTACCAGCTTTACTGTCAAAGTTAATTATATTAACTCAAGCAAGAAACTGTTGTTTCACTTATCTCAGTCTGAGTAGAGCTGCAAAGAAAGGGAATAACTGGAGACGTACTTAAATGGTTTCACACTAATAAGCTAGTTCTTACCACAAATACTGCACTGACTGAACTATCTGGCAATTTGGGGGTTTGTTTTTCTTCTTGTTTTCAGAAATGCAGTAAGCTACTAGCCTGAGATGGAAAAGCTGGGGTGGGGTGTGTGGCCTTTTTTAAAGTCAAGTTAGTGCTGGTGAAATACGCCAGGTGGGCCTCCCTGGAGGCAAAGTCCTCTCCCAATGCAACAGGGAGGGCACCAGCAGCACTGGTTCCCCACACCATCCTCCCAATGTGTCTCAGCCCTCCTCTCTGAGGGATAACAGGGAATCTCCACGGTTCTTCAGCACCTGATTCGCCCTACCTAGTGTGACCTCTGCCTGCTTGGTGTGGCGCTCTGTCCCCCTCTAGTGGCACCTAGCCCAGCTAGAGGTTGAAGAGTCTGCCCCAGCTTTGGCTAAGAGCGGTGTGGCTTTTAGCTCATGCAGTAGAGCTGGGGTGGGCAAAATTTTTAGCCCAAGGGCCACGTCTGGGTATGGAAATTGTATGGTGGGCCATGAATGCTCACGAAATTGGGGTTGGGGTGTGGGAGGGGGTGAGGGCTCCGGCTGGGGGTGCGGGCTCTGGGGTGGGGCCAGAAATGAGGAGTTCGGAGGGCGGGAGGGGGCTCCAGCTGGGGGCAGGGGGTTGGGGTGCAGGAGGGTGGGACCGAGGGGTTCGGAGGGCGGGAGGGGGCTCCAGGCTGGGGCAGGGGGTTGGGGCGCTGGAGGGGGTCAGGGGTGCAGGCTCCGGGCAGCGCTTACCTCAAGCAGTTCCCGGAAGCAGCGGCATGTCCCCCCTCCAGCTTCTATGCAGAGGCGCGGCCAGGTGGCTCTTTGCACTGCCCCATCCGCAGACGCTGTCTCTGCAGCTCCCATTGGCTGCGGTTGCCAGCCAATGGGAGCTGCAGGGGTGGCGCTTGGGGCAGGGGCAGCGTGTGGAGCCCCCTGGCTTCCCCTACATGTAGGAGCTGGAGGGGGGACATGCTGCCGCTTCAGGGAGCTGCGCGGAGCCACAGCACACGTGGAGCCAAGCAAGCCCTGGACCCCGCTCCCCGGCAGGAGCTTGAGGGCCGGATTAAAACATCTGAAGGGCCGGATGTGTCCCCCGGGCCGTAGGTTGCCCACCCCTATAGTAAAAGCTCCTACACTAAGCTTGACAGGTCCCAGGTTTGATCCCGACAGTCGTCGGTTTTACTCTTGCATTTGGTACAGCCATTTACACCTCTTCAAAATGGGAAGTAACCACTCCTGAGTCAGTGGCTTACATCCACTCTGCTCCGGTGACGACAACCATACAGGGGGCAAGGTGGGGAAGAGTCAGGGAGGGAGGGTTCAGCTTTCGTCTTCTGACTCTTGGGGTGTTTTTTATTCATGAATTTAGTCCCTGCCGTGCCTCCACTGAGTCCCACCACTCATTTCACACCGGTCCCCAAACACTCATCACATGTTAAAGACTACAGCTGGTAAAAAAAAAAAAAAGTTTGTTGAACCATTTTTTTGGACAAAAAACAGCTTTTCAAGAAAAATAAATATTTTTGCAACAAGATTTCATTTGGTTAAAATTTTGCAGATTTTTTGGGGGGAAGGGGGGAAGGACACAAACAGTCAAAAAAAGTGGTGACATGTTTTTGGTTTTTGAACAGTGAAATTTCCTACTGAAAACCATTTGCAAAAACGGAATTCTTTTCAGCTTGTGATTTCAACAATAAAACCAACAACAGTTCAAGGAATTTTTTTTTAAATGAAATTTAAGAAGTTTCCCATGAAAAACAATTAGCATTGTTTGCCTAGCTCTACTCCTGATTTTCAGTTCTCAGCCACTTGGGCTGGATGAGAATCTGAGACCTAGGAGTGCAAAGTTCTCCCGAGGACAGTGGTCCTCAAACATATTTGATCGCCCCCACCTTCTTTGTGTCTGTAGTAGTTTAGGGGTCCGACCCCCCACCACACAAGTACATATGCCGATATATACGGGGGCGGTGCTTCACTTGAATCACTTTCGGCTTCTTTGTTTTTCACTTGAGGTTTTTTTTTTCTGCCAACGATCCATTGTAATAAGACCAAAAGCAAAACTGTGATTGTGATCCATGCTTAAAATGAAATGTGCACACCGCATCGTAGCAAACGGATTAACGTACCGATGGCAACGACTTTGTGTAATGCTCTGCAAGCTTCACAGAAAGCTGTCAAAATGCACAGCGTTATTTAGAGTCAAATGCACAGCGCCATCTGAGGACCTGGTACGTCTGGAGGAATCAGCTTGCTAGTTATGCATTGCTGTGGGGAAAATGTGTGCAGTACGTTTTTTTTCCTAAAGCTTCTCACCTCCTGCCCAGAACACATTCCGCTCCCCCCAGTTTGAGAACCTCTGCCCTAGGAGAGCTGCAAACTCAATAAAAAAGAGTGAGTAGATTTGCTATTTAAAAATTAATTTTGACCTGATTTGTGCTAACTATTTCCGTTGAAAAATGCCTATCTACATGGCCACCCAGATGTTTGTGGGAGATTAGGTTAGGGAGACGGATCTATATTCCATTGATGCACACACACTCACCGAAAACAACACGGGAATCTGCTTGCACTCCCAGGGATTAGCTACATTTCGTTTAACCGCCACCTGACTGGGAAGTGATTACAGGGCTCTGTGGCTGTGACACCGCTCATTGAGAAATGACGCTAATGTTCTGTGAATGAGCAATGCGGCTGGACTGCACAGGGACTGCAGAGGGACTCAGATGTATGCACTGCTGGGACGGC